TAAGTAAGTAAGTAAGTAAGTAAGTAAGTAAGTAAGTAAACAAACTTCATCAATGACCAGCTGAAGAGACCAGGCCGTCTCCAAGGTTACTGAATGATGCTCAAGAGGAAAACCATGTGGAAATTAACTCCTTATCTCGAGAAAACTGCTCTCGTTATTTCGTGATAATGACATATATCGATGTCGTTATCATGAGAAAACCATGAAGAAAAACATGGAAAATAATTATATGCAGAAAACGGCCACTCTCGGCTTCCGTATGATTAAGAAAAGGAAGAAACACCTTCTAATGAAACGTTCATTTAACCTGACAAATGAACATCTGCTTTGAAGACACTTCTATTATATGATACGTCGACTTACCATACACTCCTGCCTGTGGCGTTCTGCGTGGTCACGTGACACATGTCAGGGAACAGCATGGCGGACATGCATGTGGAGCCTCCAAACAAACTGCACCGCTTGTCCAGCTAACCCCACCATCAGATTCACCTTTATCGCGCGTGAAGCCGGGCCAGTGGAGGCCGAACTCACAGCAGAATGGACGAGGAAAACAAGCTCCAGTTCCCGTCTCTGCCCGCCTCCAAGGAGGACCTTCTGGTGAGAGCACATCCGACATGTCCACTGACTGTTGGCTAACCAAACCCAACTTCCTCTGAAGCGATGTTGTCAAACCAGTGGAAAGAATTAACCTAAAAACACACTCAGCGATGCATTTACTTTAACTATATGAATACAACACAGTAAGAATGACGTGAACCTCTTTTTATTATTTAAATTCGTCAGAATTAATGCAATTCATGTAGCCAAAGCTAACTAGCATTAGCCACGTATGCACACAAGTAAAGTAATGTCTTCGACATCAAGCAAAAGTTTCCTTCATTTTAAATTTGTATTTTGTTTGTTTTTGCAGGATTGGGCTTATCCAATGAGACGAGAAATGCAGGTAATTGATTTACAAGTAAAAAAAAACAACCTTTGTTTAATGTTACATAAATGGTGAAGGACTTTTATTTCAGCAGCCATGCTAAACTGATACTCCAGAGTCCTTTTCTTAGTTTTGACATTTATAATTTCTGATTTCACATACAAAGTGTAAGTTGTTATGTGAGTGCTGTTACTGGAATTCATGTGTTTAGGGCTCACCTAAAACACACTTGGAAGATGACATTAGTTTGCTTCCTTATGGTAATGTGTTGCTGTGTGTGTTTTTATCTATTAGGAGATTTTGCCTGGATTATTTTTAGGTCCTTACTCTGCTGCAATGAAAAGCAAGGTATTTATCTAAAGCTTTAACCACTGGTGGTAAATATACACAAATTAAATATATATTTTTGTTTGCTTCTCTGGTTTTGTCTTTGTTTAGCTGCCAATTCTTGAAAGACACGGCATAACACACATTGTATGTGTTCGTCAAGACATTGAAGCCAATTTTATCAAACCTAATTTCCCTCATACATTTAGGTAAGAACACCTTAATGTGATGTAGTAAGTTTTTATTAATTTACAAGCTCAAAGTGCTGTTTTTTTTATCTATGATCTGTTAATCTGATTATATCTTGATCGTTCTTGCAGATATCTTGTTTTAGATATTGCAGACAATCCAGTGGAAAATATAATACGTTTTTTTCCTATGGTGAGTTTCAAATTGAGGCTTTGACTTTTTATTGACTTTGACAATATAAATAATGTTCACTTCCTTTTTTACAGACAAAAGAATTTATCGATAGCTGCTTAGCAGCAGAGGGTAAGGATGTGTGTGAAATTCCTCATTCGTCGTGGTTTGGATGTTGAGTATTTATTCAGTCTTTCTTGTAGGAAAGGTTCTGGTTCACGGTAATGCAGGGATATCAAGAAGGTGAGGCGTGTTCTGTTTTTCACATTTTATCCTTTCAACAAGAAAATTAAACAAGAATCTTTCAATTTAAAGTATGGGTTAAAGCAGTGTTTCCCAAAGTTGGGGTCGGGACCCAAAGTGGGGTCCCGAAACATCAAAGTGGGGTCCTGAAAAGATTTTCTGAATTAATTACATTTTTGCCTTAGTTGTTACAAAGGAGTGAGGTTAGTGTATTTAAAATGGATAAATGTAGTATAAAAATATTGTTACTATGCCCATGTTTTGTTGACCTGATACAAATGTTTATCATCCAAAAATAGCTGGGGGCACAGGTCTCTGCTACTGTTATTTTGTGGGTCAAAAGCTGAAAAGTTTGGGAACCACTGCACTTTGGTTCCCAAAGTTGGGCTTGGGACCCAATTATGGGTCATGAAGCACCTTGGATAATCTCCAGAAATCAATTTAAAGGGTAATAAAATAATTGCCGATGTAATATATTCCCTTTAATTATTACAAAAACACAAAATAAGTAATAAAAAAAGTATTTATATTTGTGTACAAGCTGTTTAGATTGTCAAAAAGCCTGTGTTTTTAGGGTTATTAACGAAGTTCATGTACTCAGACCAATAATATTTGGGGTCACAAGTTTTTACCATGGATATTTTGTGGGTGAGAAGACAAAAAGTTTGGGAACCACTGGGTTAAAGAGTTTATGAGATTATTTATACCACAGGACAAAGTTCTCCGTCACCATGCGGAGGTGCCAAAAACATTTTCAGTCAAAAGTTTTTGTTTTCTCTTTAACTCGTGATACCACTTAATTTCTTTTTCCAGTGCTGCCTTAGTGATTGCATACCTTATGGAAACATTTGGGATGAAATACAGGTGATTTTGTTCTTTGACATTTATTTTTGTCTTTAAGGACAAAACAAAACCATTGTTCCTGCTGTTTCTGTCTAATGTAAACACTGTAGTTGTGACTCTGTAGGGATGCGTTCAGTTACGTCCAGGAGAGGAGATTTTGCATCAACCCTAATGTGGGCTTTGTTCATCAACTACAGGTAAGACTAACACGGAATCTGTTGTAGATTTTTTTTACACAGTTTTAAATTTCCAAACTCATTTTCACCTGGGCCTCATTAACGGACCAGACGGTAATCACCCGCTGGCCTGCCTTGAGTTTGACACGTGCACTAGAATTATTATGTTTATTTAGTGCATAGATTGTTGGCTGGTGTCGTATAAAATAGCACTATTTAAAGCATAAGCATCCATATTGGTGAACCAAATGATGTTTTTCCTGGGAGATACAAAGAAGTAATTTTTATTTGGAAGGGGTGCTGTTTGTCATTTCAGGAATATGAAGCAATCTACCTTGCCAAATTGACCATAAAAATGATGTCACCGATGCAGTTGGGCCGATCGTTCTCTCTGCAAGCCGGGATGCCAGGTTTGTATTCAGTAAACTTTTCCCACGAAGCTGCGTTAAACTGGAGCAGGGCTGTTGAAGGATTTGTTTCAGGTCTTTGCTCAGGGGGGATTAACACCATATTTTCAAATCTTCAGCAAAATTATTAGAATTAGAAGCTTTTCATCGAATGAATTTAGTCGTTTCCGACACAAATGGGGTTTTTACGGTGTAGGATTCCTGCACACAGCAGCTGGTAAAATGTCTCTTATTTCTAAAACTTTTGAATGTTTCAGGTGTTTCCTGGATTTATAGGCCTTTCTGCACTGCAAGGCCCGGTCCGGCCTGGGTTCAAACCCAGGTTCAAGTAGGGCTGGGCGATCATTTGATCGCGATTATTGATCGGGAAAAAAATTCACGGTGATCAGGTGTGAGCCTCTTACTTGATCAAACATGGCAGAAATGTGGGCAACAACAGCCAATCAGAATCCAACTTCTCCTGCTCCACTTCTGTTTATACGTTGGTAAGGAAACGCAGAATAAAACGCCGAATCTCACCGAGTTTGCTTATTTGGGCGAGTTTCTGAGGTATTTTGTCCACTGTCGCTTACTGTACCTGCTGTTACCTGCTAACAGGCACACAGGGTGAGCTCTGAGCTCCCCTCCCAACTAGAGAGAGGGAGGGAGAGCGGAGAAAAAGAAAAGAGAGCTGCGATGCACGGCTCGCTAAAACAAAAGCATCCTCCAAAAATATGAAGCAGTGTCAGGGTAACGTTTAGGACAGAACAATGTCCCAGCGGTTCTTCATTTATCTGGAGAAGAACTTTTCTGTAAGTTTTATCGGCACACGATGGGCTGGACGAGACGTGACTTCCTGTCTGAGTCTCATCACAAACAGCGGCTGAGAGACGCTGCAAACTCCTGAACAGCTGGGAGTTTATGCAACGTTTTGTGTGTGCAGAATCAGATATTCTTTCAGAAAAAATGAAACTGCGTTGTTTGTTGTTTGATAAAGCACTGTAAACGGGGGGGTCCTTCCATAACAAAAGTAATGAGCTTAGATCATATTCAGTTGGCAAGTGAGCACAAATTGTTGCTGTTTGTAGGGTTTATGTTTCTTTATGAAATATTTAATGTGAAA